GATCTAGTGATTGCTCTTGGGGTTAAACACCGTACATTCATGCTAATTCCTGCTAATTGTCAAAGAAGAATAGAGTGACTTCTTATCAGCAATTTGCATTTGTGTAAGGGCCCTGGTCTGTTGCTGCTGTCTACTCTGCTGATAAGGAAAACACCACTTAAAACAAGCATGGAAGTAAGCCATCCTTTCCAGCGTTTTTTTTTGTGCGGGTTTTTTTTTGTTTGTTTTTTTTTAAGCCTTCCCTAAGCAGAAAAAACCTGGCATTCTACAGGAAATATTGTGTGATTTCTTGAGAAAATATTTAGCAATAAAACAGAGAACACTTAATTAACTCCTCAAATTTTTTTTCTTCTGTCTTTAAAGTGTGCAATAGTATATGATTTCCACAGCGTTAAGTTATTCTGTGGATGTCGCAGCATTTAAAAAAATATTTTAAGAGCTTTTAAACTGTTAAGATGACACACAGTGTTATAAGTAAACTTAATTCATGTAACTGGGAAGTTTGGTCAGGAATATTAAAGATTTGTGTGGACCTCGAAAGTTGACAATAATACAGATTTACGATGTTTTTTTCTTTTAACGCACATTCTACTTCAATTTATTTTATAGGCAACTTTAGTGGTTATAAATTAACGACGAGCAGTTGTGATAAAGTTAAAATAGAGCAGATTATTGATATTTACTTAGTTTTGTATAATCATTCAGTGGTTAACCTTCCCAATTAGACCATCTCTCTTCATATTTCATAGAATAATAACTTACTAAGAAACAACATTTGAGGCTTGATTATATACAATTCCAGAGCCTGCACAGAAATGTTTTTGCTTCTCTTTGTTCCATATTTACACCATTAGTAATAGTAAGAGCATTATATATTTGTGTGCAGTGTTGCAGCTGAAAAAGTATTTTATCGCTCTTGACAACAGCCTGGTGATAGCTCATTCTTACAGCTGAAATTACTGAGGCCGGTTAGTGGGACCGAAGTCGCACAAGGAATACTTGCTAAAACAGCGCCTTGGCCCTAATTCTCCCCGGCTAACTCCAGGGTTCATTTCACTACATTTTATGAATAACGGTCTCCTTTTAGGGAGAACTGTTCACAGTCTTTCAATTTTTAACCCCAGTAATTCTAGTTGTTGTCATTATGCCTTGCATAGGCAATTATTAAAGGATTGTGGAAGGTGGGCAGAGAATGGAGGGAGGAAGGAAAGAAGGAAGGAAAGCAGGCAGGCTGGAAAGAAAGAAGGGGTCCCTACTGCATGGCGAGGAATTTCAGGAGTCCAGAAATGGTGATCTTAGTCTCCAAAGCCTTGGTCCTGACCTAATTTGCCAAGAGAGACCGAGTCAAGAATGAAACACCCCGAAGTACATCTCTGATAACAAATAACTGCTTTATTTACACTTTCTTCCTTATAACATAGATGTGAACACATAAGGAAAGTGTGCTTATATAAGTGGCAAACATAAGAGAAATGAAGTCGTATTTTGCAGTGTTCCTAATTGCTGTTCATTTAGCTCTTACTAGAAGGTGACAGACTCCCAAATTAGGACAAACTAGTCACAAAGTGGAGGGAGGCAGGCTTTATTAAGTACTGAATGATGAGTGAGATCTACTCCACTTACTTCCAAGAACAGCTATGAGCGTCATCTTTTATACATTGAGGCACTTTCTATCTGCAAAACCTTTAGCTTCACCTCTAATAAACTCCTCCCAAAGCTCCAGAAGAATAGTGCTTCCACAGTTTGGTTCAAGAAGCTGCTTTGTCCATTTCATGAATTTCTGGCAGAATTACCACAAGCAGGGCGACTTCACAATACAGGGTGTGTAAGCCAAAGGGAAAAGAAATCAATGCAAAACTGATAGGCCTGTTCAGGATTAAGTGCGCATTGTGGTCAGCTAAGGAGAATAAAAGAAACCTGGCACAGATCTGACAGGTGCACATTCACCGTCTCCATCCAGCTTCTTCTGACAACTATGGCTGATTTCTGTGTTTGTCTGTTGGTTGAGAACAGCTGTACCCAGTCAGTCACCCTTTATACCACCTGGGAGTTTGTTGCTGCTTTACAATTCCGTGATCATTTTTGTTCTCACTGCGGCTAGCAGATAAGAGGGCCAAGTACGATAGTCCATGACCATATGAGATCGTTCCTATTTCATTGTCTCCAAGAATTATTTTACCATCAAAGAGCCCATTGCTAGTTTCAAGTGATGATCTAAGAATTGTTCAAATGAGTGTGTCATACTTGGAGCTGCAGGATGGCCTTAAAAGGATAATTATTTTAGGGAAAAATATTTTTAAAGGACTAAAAACCTGGAATTATTTCTAGTATTAACACACTTATTAATCTTGCTTATGTGATAACACAGGATCAGAAAATACAAGGAATAGGTGTGATGCATCTGTCTCTTGCTTATATTACTGCTAATCCTTATTGTGAGTTTATAGTTTGTATGGAGTGTCTGCTTTGGGGAGGATGTTGGTTTTGTTATATTAAGCAAAAGCCTTGGGATTTGTTCTGAAAGAGCCTGATGCGGTGTTGGCTGTGCAGCGTGGGTGAGGGGTGACCCTCAGCAGCCTGTCAGGGATGCAGAGACCGCTGGGGCGCGCTTGGGGCTCGGAGCTCCTCGGCAGGGACAGGAGTGGTGACAGCACACCACAGGTGGTCCATTCTGCGCTGTCACCTGGGGCAGCAAGGATACCCTGCCCAATTTGTCATCCCGCAGAACCCTGTCAGCAGTTGCAAGTCTTAAGCACAAAAACTTGAACATTGAAGGCAAACTTCCTCCTAATATTTTTTAGAAGCAATTGCCATAGATGAAAATATTAGCAGCCAACACTGAAGTAAACAGTTTTGTGACATATAGAAACGGTGTCTTAAATGTTAAGTTATGTTACATGATATATGGGGGTGTTGTCTATAATTTTACAGACCACATGTTGCTAATTACACTCCCCTCTTCCTGCCAAAGGTGGTAAAATACAGCCAATAATGGGGGTAAAATCACCTCTCTTCGCACCCTCCCTGGTGCCTTTTGTTTGGTTTGTAGACCTGTGATGGATACCTTGAAATGCATCTTGGAAAGGACTTCCTGTTCCAATAATAATAAAAATAAGCCATTTATTTTCTTAATTTGAATTTTATTATTTATTGGGGTGACATTGGTTGATAAAATTATAGGTTTCGGGTGTACAATTCTATAATACATCATCTGTATATTATATTGCGTGTTCACCACCTCAAGTCAAGTTGAACGATTTCTTAATTATCCACAGTAATAACTCAAGAATAGTGTGCATCTTTGAAATCCCCAAACTTCCATGATCAAGCTTTTATTTGATTAGTAAATACTGTCCCTATTTGCCCAGTAATTATACCTGCTGTTATTCACTGAGTGCCAGCTTTGTGCCAGTTCTTTTACCTAGATTATTCATAGTCTCTACAAAGACCCCGTAAGAGTGCTATTACCCTAAATGGGAAAATTGAACATCTGGGTGGTTAAGTGACTTGCTCAAGGACACAAATTAGTAGGAGACGGGATCTGAGCCAGATCTGTCTCCACAACGCAAGTCATTTTGACCGTCCTTTGCTGTTACTCCTGAAAGCCATGCTGAGAACAGTGAAATGGTCCAAAAACATGCCTGATTTGAAGAGGCGAGAAGGGTCTTGAGTGATTCAGAAACGGAATAATTAGATGTTGAGTGTTTCTATCGAGTAGAGTAAAAATTAAGCAGAGTTAGAGGAGAAATTGGGTTAAAAGTCAAAAGAAAATGTGGACTAGTGAAAGAAAGGCAAAAGAAAGACAAAAGAAAATGGGAAAATAATACATGAGAGGTTAAAGAAAACGGACATCTGAATATCATACGCAAATACAAAATAAAAATAAGGAAGACAAGGATTAAAAATCATGAAGAATGATCACTAGACAAGAAAAAAGAATTTGTCTAGAGATGCATTTTTTTCCTAGAAGAGTAGTCCTCATTGGCTTGACATACTGGTTTTGTTTTTTGTCCTGATAATGCAAGTGATAAACATTCTGTGAATTAAGCTACTTTTGCCTGAGACTGAGCATCACCTGTAATGTCCCCAGTGCTAAGAGCAGAAGTTCTGATACTAAATGCCCTTAGAGCCTCAAGACTGAGAGCTTGGGCTGCACCCAGTCGCTGCACCTCCTGGTGGAGCCTTCATTTGCAGATAATTGTGGAGTTGGGTAAGTGAGTGTCAAGCTTATTACAGGAAGGAAGGTGTTAGGAACCCAAACTGAGCTAATTTCTACTCTTGATTCACAATCAACGAATATCACAATATTCACCCATTTTGTCATTTTCAGTAATATGAGACAGTCTTTCCATTTTCTCAAAAGTATGATGGCAGTTGGATATTTCAAAAATGTTCTTCTGAGTAAAATTTAGAATAGAATGGACAGTATGGAAAGAATGGCCCCAGATCTATATGATTATATATATATATATATATATTCAGTTAATATGTAATTTTTATTAGGAACAAATAAGCCATCTTGTATTTTTTGCTATATATTATGTCTAAAAAATATGGTCAATATACATATAAAACATACTTTCCAAAATAAATAATTTTGTCAATTAGTTGCTATTAAAAATTGATATCTAAAGTGAGTTGCACTGATGTGACTTTTATATCATTATCTTTGAGCCTTCCTGGAAAATGTGTTTTATTTAATGACAATAGATCTTCTCTCCACTTCCGTGGAAGATAAAATACTGGTTATAAAAAAAGTCGAGCCTATATTCCTGTTACCATAATTCAACTAATTATACTTACCTTTTTATAGTTTTATTCTGTTTAATTGCAGCCAGAAATTACTTAACTTTGTTGCTATTGTTTATTAAGCCTGCAAGTTTAGTGGGGACTGTCATGCCTTCTATGAACGATCCCTCCTAAGAGAATTTAAGATTAAAGGCTGCGCGGAAAGCAGAAAGATAGAGCTAAACCTTTGCCCTTCTTTATCTCCCATCCAGCTACGTCTACGTCTACAACTGGGACAAGTCATCTTGTCAAATGTGCAGAGAAGGAGAAAACTTTCTGTGTGAATGGAGGCGAGTGCTTCATGGTGAAGGACCTTTCAAACCCCTCAAGATACTTGTGCAAGTAAGAACAGAAACCCTCTGTGTGGCTTATGTCCGTAACTGCTTCTTTCAGATGATTCCGTGTCTCATGATGTGGTGTTGCTTCTTTTTCCAATTTCGTTGCATCCTGTTGAATAACGCTTTTTATTTGTAGAGTGTTTTTCCATTTGCAAAAAGTTCACACCATTTGTCATCTCGGTTATATTAGAATTGTTTTTTTTTTTTTGCTTTTTACAATTCTTTTCCTTTTTCATGTTTATATTTATAAAGTTGCTTTCCTTATGGTTTTGATCATTGTTACCTAGAAGAGATGTGCAAATAGCGTAGAGGTCTCTATCGATTCCTACTTCTCCATCCAATGTGTGGATTAAGCTGTAAGATAACATTCCTTTTTGCCCCAGTGATCACCCGCAAAATGAATGGGCTAAGAGATAGAGAAGTACAGAAGATTCTGTACAGACACCGTGGTTGCACTTGACATTAACTTATTGTTTCATAATTATTTTTAAAAATGAAGTTTAGGTTGATCTCACTAATTATCAAAAAAGCAAACTGCAGGTGTTTGGAAATGGATTCAGTGGGTGTGGCATCATCGTGTAGAGCAGGCAGAATGTCCTTTTATGCACTGCCATTGTTTGTAGGTGCATTTAGAATGGCACTCCGTCCTGTGACCTGCAGGGGTTGATACACCATTCATAAGTATCACAGTTATTCTTTCTCAACAGGCAGAATAAAACAATAATATTATCAGTACATTAAATAATTGAACCTTGTAGTTAAAATTAGTAGGTCTCATTAAAAAGCATGCGTTTACTGTTTCATGCATTTTAATTCTACTCTTGATGGTTAGGCTATGTGTGGAACAGGGACTCATATAATTTGATGTGGTAAAAGATATTTACTGTCTCACTTAAATGGTTAAAAATACACATTTATTTTGCAGTTGACCGAGAGCTATGTCCCACTGTTTTAAAGTAGCACTGCTTGTCCTACATGAGGAAAAAATCATGCCAACCTAAAGATTGTCTTCTGCTTTAGAATATTAGCTTGTGACTCAAATATTGACAAAGAAGAGCGAGTTTGTTAGAGAGCTAATAAAGCAATTAGGAAAATGAAAAAAGCTCAAGAACTAAGAAGGCCATTTCCATTTTGCATCATGTAAATAGTGTACAAATATTTATGTGCCAGTTCCCCCCAAAAAACCAACCCTTAATTATTTGTGAGTAATAAAGTGCATCTTAAAAGACACTTCTAAAAACCATGACACACAAACAAAACGCCATTTCATAAGAAATGTTTTGCTGCCCCCTGTTTCAAGACAGGGCCATCTGTAGAGAACTCAGGGACTTCACACACACGTGCCTCCCAAAACTACTTGTGGCCTCAAAAGCTTTTCTTTTAAAAGAGTAGAAGCAATCCCAGGAGAAGACAAGGATTATTGGTGGCATAGTTGATTTTGTCAATCAGACGACATATAAAAGTCAACATAGTCTGTTGGAGTGAATAAAAATCTAGGAATCACAAGAGTGCTTCAATTACTACACATCTCTTTGATAGAGGTAGGGTAATAGTTATAAGCCATGATAAAATTAATAGATAAACGTGTTTTCAAAAATTTAAAGCAAAATAAAAATGAAAGAGTAAGTAGAAGCCAATGATTTCTTTCAGGTTTAAATTATTTCACATGGCTATCAATATTTATTGTTTTAAAATCAATCTTAGAGATTCACTTTTTGAACACCTGTGTATTCAAATCTATATACTTAGAGCAAAGAATTAAAATTTGTCACTTTTATTCTTTGGTTCTGACCATTTGTTGTCACTGCAACACAAACATGGCACCCCCACATTTATCATGGTGAAGCAAGATGAACCGATTTTTAGAGTTTTCTGCAAGGTTTTCTCAGATCAGAATAGAAAACACCAGAAGCTGAGACTTAACAATCTGTAAAATATGAGCTTCATTTATTATTTGGGGAAATCTTATTATTTTGTCCTAATCTCAGGCATACAGTCCAATTATATTTTAATAAATCTCTTTGAAAAACATTGAAATTATGGTTCCTTATAAATTCTTCTCCTTTTTAAACAAAGTCCCCATACTATCTATGCCTCATATTTTTACTTCTTTAGAGAAACATCTGAGACCACTATGTTTTAATTATAATAATGAAACATGATCATTTTTCATCATAGCCTTTGCAAAGATTTACAAGCTGAGTGCGTACATGTGATAGTTTCCAAATACCTCTAAGGAACCAGCGCAGCCATTTTCCACATATTAATTTCAGCCCTTCTGTAGCCCTCCCACGTCCTGTACAAAACATGCAATCACAGAAGTGTTGTTCATTTGTTCCATCTTGGTACTGTGCCAACAACTGCAATTTTTTTTCACCCACACAGTTTTTCATTAAATTTGAAGCCCAACCCAGAGAAAAAAAAATGTGTGCTATATTTTTTAAAATCTCATAGTTAAATGTTTGTTACTTCTCTGATAACTACTAAAGCAGCAAACCGTGGAGGAGCACTCTGTGTCCCCCGCACTCATGGTCTGGGGGGTTCCGCTGCCTTCTAGTTCTCAGCAAATGGGCACCTTATATTTTTATTTTTTGTAATTAGAACCTTTCAGAAAAGTGTTAAAGCTTATTAAGCTTATTATTGGATCTTATTGTGAGAAAAATCTTTGATGTTTATGATTTTGGTAAGCACCCCCCTTACCAGATTTTTAGACCATGTCTTTATTGATGCATCAAAGCAAGCCAGTACCTTACAGAAAGAACTGGAATATTTTTAACATCCAAAATATTTCAGACCTTTTTTGTGAAACAAAAGTGTGCTTTGAAAAATAATTCCTGTATTAAAAGCATTTATAGCATTAAAAATAATCACAACTCAGAATTGGAACAAAGGCACATCTGAGGATAATGTATTGTTCACTAGGCCACTTGAATGGAAGCAGAAAACATGAAAATGTTGCCTTGGCTCCTCACGGTCCTGTGCTCGAAGCCAGTTCATAGTTTCCATATGGGCCATCTGTCTAGAGCAAAACATTGCTGCAGCGTGAGTTACATCATTCAAAATCAGCTTTATCCCCTGGCTGAAGACATGACTCAGAAACACCACAAGCATGCACGTTTCCAAGTAGTCTCTTTGGTCGCCTAATCCACGCTGTCTTCTTGGGATTTGAAGCTGAGGACTTGACAGCAAATCTCTTTTGTCTCTCCATGTAGCACAGGGCGTCCCCAGTGGATTAACCATAAAACGGTAAAACACTTCTCGGAGGAGGGGTTTGCCAGTTACGTGGACTTCCCCCTGGGGACCGTGTGGGAATTTCAGTGGTAGTTCCCATCTTTTATATTTCTCTTCCCTCTCTTGTACTTTAAAATTCATCCTGAGGAAAAACATAGTTGTTATTCCAGATTACATAAAGAGGGGAAAAGAAACATTTCATCTTTTACCCTCTGATGCCCCGTGTAGTCACATGGTTGAGAGGAATAAGTCAGTGGGAACATGGCACTGTCCAAACTTTCCTCTGCTTCCCTCCTCATTCATGTGTATCTGTTCTTCTGAACAGTTTTCTTGGAATATGTTTATGTGATTTTGAAAATCTAACAATGATTTTATACCAGACTGTATTTATAAATCCATTATGTTGTCCCATGGACAGATGTGGCTGCCCCATGAGGGTATTAGACGTTTTACCACCAATTTTGGTGAATGGTCGTGAGCCCTTTTGCATCAACTCTCTGGACGGTATCTTAATTTATAACATAGAGCTAATATGTTCTCCAAATTTCTTTCCAGGAAGTTAGTGAAATGAAATGAATTCATTTCTGCTAAAGTACTTCTAACTCTGGAAAAGAAAGATTTTTTTCCTTATAATAAAAAATAAATGGTAGTATTACGTACTCTCTGTGGACATTGGAAAAATACATACACCTGTCTTAACAGACGGTGTTATCATATTTAATCCCCCAATTTCTCATCTTCCTTTACACCAGCAGCTCTTACTTGATTTGGTGGGGCCACCAGCGAGCTTTATAACTTTGTGTTTGACAGACCATTTAATAGCTCTGATCATTATATACCTTATATGCAAAAAAAAAAAAATCTTGGGAAGATAGAAGGTGCCTTCAAGCATGAGCTGATGATTTTTATAATTCATATGAAACTGTGTAGTGTATATAAGGACCTATATTGTATTATTATTGGAGACAGTTATGAAAAATGTATAGCTGTACATTAGATCACAACAAACATTATAATAAATTAAATTCTATAAATGAAATATTAATTAACATGTGTTTACGGAACAGCTACATCTTTGCCAGGCATTTTTGAAAACACAGAGAAAATGTAATACATGGTGCCTGTCCCTGGAAACCTCGTCTGTTTAGGAAAATTAAGTAGCTAAAAGAGTGAATTAATTAGAGTGACTATATTCCAAATGGTGCAACAGTGATTATTATGGTAATGAGAATTTAAAGAAGGAGAAAAGGGAAAAATGTTGTAGAAGACTTTATAAACAGTTGCGGAGCCTTTTCCATGTAGCAGACAGGCATTGCAGTGGCAGTGACAGTTTCTGTGAGACACAGTGACATGCATACCTAAACCAGCAGCTCTGTCCTGAGAAGTAAACAAACAAAAAACCAAGTTTGACATTGAACCAGATTAGGAGTTCCGGAGGCCAGGCAGAGGACACTGGACATTGTGACAGCTAATGGGAGTCATAGGAACTTCTCGAGCAGTAGGGGGACACCAAAACATAGCAGATATTTAGGGAAGAGAAATTTCTGTACAGGCTAGAGAAATTTGGGGACTAGGTAAGATGGAAAGTCAAAGACACTAGCTAAGGTTAAAGTTTTACAAAATCTTGACATAATATATAAAATATTGATGTGATGATAATATGTGTAATACTTATTAGCAGCTAGATTAACATAATGAAAAGGAGCATGACGATGCAAGTTCATAGTTGTGCCCTGCAGCCTCATCATCTTGGCTACAGAAAGAGGGGTTTGG